CGAAGCGAAACTTTATCGGATCGAGTGTGTAAACCTTGTAAGGAAAATAAGGAACGCTGCTGAACTATATAAATTTGTAAAGGAAGAACGATAATTAATTAAAGAACAAAATGATACGGTTTCAGATGATCTGAGCGAGATAAGCAAAACGCAGTTGCCAAGAAATCACACAACGAAAGTGTATAAAGAAAGAAATTAAATGTGTGTCAAATCTAGTACTAGAAAGTCTTTTCCTTGACACAGAAGAACGAGATTCCCCATCGCAGGACAAGTTCAGTGTTAACAACAACGACAGCAACTCGAAGCGGCAACTTTCTCGATCAATTTATATTTTATAGCGAATAGGCTAAGTTGAAAGTGATTATAGCGTATAAACTATAGTGATTATAGTAATTATAGTGATTTAAGCATCCACGGACGAAAAACATTGCCGTTCCATATCTTTTGGCTGGTCTTTAATATAAATGCTATTCAATGGGGATATTACAATAATAGCTGCTTTCCCTAACATATGATAATCACGCGCTCGTACGAAAGCTTGGTAAATCAAACTTTTGCCATAAACCTGTCGGTAATACAGCAAAAACCTCTTTTCCTTTTAAAAGGTCCCGAACTGCTTTATCTTGCTCCTCTTTCAGTTGAATACAGTGGCCAGTTCGCCAACTGAATATAGCTAATCACTTTAGAAAGAGGTCAATACTAAGGCCACTATTTTGAACTCACTAAAACCACAGGGAATATAATTGGGAAACCCCTGGGGCCGGTTGTATAAAAACGTAGTTGCCGCTAACTGTAGTTAGCGTTAATCACTGTAGTTAAATCCTTAACTGTAATTAGTTAACTACATGACTTAACTGCGTTGCACAAAACGTAGTTAGTCGGATAGTTAACTAATCACGTAGTTAACTGTGCGTGGGGCTTGCGTGGGGCGTTTAAACACAAAATTACATAAAGTAAGCAACGAGTAACGACAGCTGACACACATTTTCAACATGATTGTGGACTCGTATTTTGCAAATAGGCGGGAATTTTATTCAAAACACTAGAAAACAGTGAAAACTAAAAAAGAAAACAAGGAAAAACCGCCACAAAAGGCATAAAAGAATGCAGTTTTTCCTTGAGATGTCTACGTGAAACCAAGGTATAGCTGTTTGGCAATTATATATGTGTTTCTTGGTGTAATGGACCATACTTCGTCTTCGAGAATCGTCCTGTGCAAAAATATGTTCTGTTTTCTTAAAAACACCAAAGCTATCGCGTTTGAAGAGTTTATATGGTCTGGAAACATTCACAGGGAAGATAGCGATTGAAAATCTCAGGTAAGCGTTGCTTTTCATTGTTGTTTTACTGAAAAATGTTGTTCACTCCTATACAAACGCCATTTTTAACTACGTTTTGGACAGTTAACTATACCCTAAAGCATAGTTAACTTTAACTTCTTTTTAACTGCAGTTAAGGCTAACTACACTTTTATACAACCGGCTTAACTACGTGATTAAAGTTAACTATTTTTTAAGGCTTTTTAACTACTTTTTAACTGCAGTTAGCGCTAACTACGTTTTTATACAACCGGCCCCTGATGACTGATTAGCCAATCAGAATTTCGCGTCCGCTCACGGACGCGAAATATGAGAAAACATATGGCTTTCCTGCAGTAGGCCGTAGGATGAAGGCCTAAATTGTGCCGTTTCATTACAGCCTCCGAGGGAGATAATAATTTTTACATAGATAGAAAGAGAAGGTTTTACTTACTTAGAATCCACTTCCCCCCAAGCGAAATAGTTGCACAAATGAGAATAAATCGCCTCCAAAGTTCACGCTCCCTCATGCTTTCAAATTCACGAGCGGCCATTGTTTTCGTTGCCAGCGCGCATGCGTACAAAGGAAAACATTCAATGCGCACGCGCAGTTGGGGAAAACTGATCTTACACGTAACTGGACACGAAAAACTGCTTAGAAAAAGCCCTAAATAAGAAAAGGTGAAATCGGCAGCGTTTTGAAAAATAGCAGGTCTTCATGGTTTGTACATTTGAATGATACACAAATATTTAGAGCTATTTAGAGTTATATAGTGTATACCCTCCCGAGAACATTATATTACAAATCAAAGACTAACATTTCAAGAATAATGTAATAAGATATAGGATGATATATACACTACACGATGCTCGCAATCATATTTTAAAACAAGTATACACAACTACCAAAAATAATAAAATGCTCAGATAACTGTTAATAATGTTCAATTATTTTTTACAATTATTTTTACAATTACTTTTTTACTTTGTCAACTTCTTACAATTAATCATATCACAAAACTGTTAAAAGGTCTTGAGAAAACAAAACAATATATTAAAGTAATTAAACCGCGCTGACTAGAACTTTGTGATGTGTTGCTTATCATGAAAACTGTAACGCGCATTTCTCCATGCAGATTTATCTTTAGTTTACCAAGTATCAGGAACGCCTTTTCACCAGTCCACTATCCACCATGGAGACTTCTTACTTCCAAGACAACCATACTCATAAAAAAGGGAAAGTTTGAAAAAAACCCAGCTTAACACGATGTATGACTATGAGATTATATTATTATGCTTTTATATGCCGAGATGTTAAAATGACTGTTTCGCCCCATATCAGGGCTCATCAGCATGTCTAGAAAACAGATAATACCACAAGTCATGACAAACTGATTCGGAACATGGACAGCCTTACCATACTTCCCTTACCATGGGAAGACTGTCGAGCAATTTGGTTTTAAGGCGCCAAACACTCGCCTTCATCGCTTTTCCATTCGGAAAAAAGGGTGTGGTTAGAAATGGTGACAACTTGGGACATTTCATGGATGTGAAATTGCTCAATGTTTCACACCATCCCAGCCATTTCTAACCCATTAAAGTCCCTCCCTGCCCCTACTCGACAAGTAGAGATAAGCTCTACGTAAAACACTGATAGCCATACAGTGAATAACCTTTTTAGGGTTAGGGTTGGAATTAGTATTAGAGTAGGGCAGGTGTATCAGACTAAAGGTGATTCACTGTATGGCCATTAGTGCTTTCCAAGCTTTACTTGGGCTGGCTGGTAATCGAACCCGCGACATTCGGTTGCCAGTTTGATGATCTACCAACTGAGGTACAGGTCAAGTTGGGAACTAGTTAGTCGAAAGGTGGTTTGTGTTTGATATTTCGAAACAGGTACTATAGTATCTTCAATATCGAGACATCTGCCTTTATACATGTACATAGATCAATTGATTTACCTATCTACATGTATAAAGACAGATGTCTCGATAATGAAGATAAAAGAAACTAGTACCCGTTTCGAAATATCAAACATAACCCAAGTACCACAATTCGACCCTAGTTCCCAACTTGACCTGTAGTTCAGTTGGTAGAGCATCGGACTGGCAAACGGAATGTCGCGGGTTCGATTTCCAGCCAGGCCAAGTAAAGCTTATCTCTACTTGTAGCAACACTTGATATCACACTATTCTGGTTCGTAACCCACCACGCGATAGTCCTCCATCGTCACGGGAAGAGCGTAGACACGAACATGTCAACCGTGCCAAATTGTCACTTGTGAATCGACGACGCATCCATACCTGAAAGAAGTAGCCAAGGTATTTTTTTCTTGGTATAACCGGATAAATACCTACAGTATCTAAAATGATCATGTTATGTGATTGGCTTTCTGTAATAAAAGTATCATTGTGTGTGACTTGTTCTTTAGAAAGACGGTTTCTACGATTTTATTGTCTTTTATTGTTATAATCAACAAATCACAAAACCTGTTCATAAAGGTGGATGATGACCAAGGTAACCCCTAAACATAAACAACCGTAGATTTTTTTTCTTTGAGCACAGTCATTGGTATGCATTACATTCGTTGTGTACTGTACATTACCTGCCTCAGAGCACTTTATTCGTCATCTTCAAACATCAATACTCTTCGAAAATGTCAACAGGGAAACCGTCCAGAACATCATCATCGTCATCAGCATCGTCAACATCATCATCTGCAACCTCGTTTTCATCGCCTTCTTTATTGGCACAATCACTGCAAGTACAAAGACCAGTGCACTTCAATGCAGCCTTCACGCAAGCGCATCTCCTTGTCGAGCATCCGGATTTACACCCACAATTCACATTTTCAAGAATCCCATCCGGAGCTGCTGGCATAGTCATCCACTTCACTTGCACCTGTCCATCGTTGATCTCCCAACCATAGTCACTGATCGGAGGCAGCAATGTTATGGCTTGGAGTGCACTTCTCCACATGAATGCTTGGTACGATGCTCGCTTAGTGTGAAGTAGCAACACGTCTTTCGTACAAGGCATTGTACTCTCGGAATACTGACCAATACTGAATAGGTTGAAACGTGCAAGATTGACATCAACCACTGAAAACTGACCATACAAGAAACAGACATACTTCTGGATATTCTTGAACAACTCGTTCGAAACTGTGACAGCTGATCCAAGTGTCTTGAAGGTCAGCAAGAACTCTGCGTTTTTCTCTAATGTGCTCAACGTCTTTGTTTTTCCTTTTCCGTAGAAAGCACTAATACTGTCGCAGCCTTAATAAACAGAACATTACCATCAGGGGTCAGATATAATTCGTACGGATAGGTCCAAGTCTAGGTCTAATACATCGGGTGTATAAAAAAGCGAACTTTTAGAAATAAACATTCTAATTAAAAACACACGATAGCGAATTTATGATTGCTTATAATTGTACGTACTTACGTTCGATGGTTCCGATTTAAAAGGTTCACCTTTTTATAAACCGTTTATCACAAAATGATTGTCACTATATTACCTTTTTACACTATCACTTACAAAGGATAATATCGCACACCAAAATATGTAGTGGCATAACTCGCAAACTTGTAACGGTAAGATAAAAAACATTGACGTTTCGAGCTACTTCTGACGAAGGGCCTTTGCTCGAAACGCCGATATTTTACCCTCCCATTACAGGTTCGCAAGATACCACTTCAGATTTTGGATTATTCTATACCGTTACTTTACCTGTAAATGCATGAAAACCAATCAGAGCATCACAGAGATCGGAGCCAAGTGTTTCATGAAGTACATTTAGATCTAGAATCCTTCTCTGGTTTCCAACCCCGGTTTCAAAATACATTGCTGCTGGTATTGATAGTTTATGACCTAGCATCAAGATAAATACATCCGTATCAGGACTGCGTATGATGACATCGGGATGGTCTGCAGAGGCGTGCTTAGCATGAAGGAGTAGTCGTGTATCCGCTTCTTCGTGGTCACTGTATAGTTCCTCGCATTCTTCAATCAGAACTTCGCCTTGGATGGTTGTGGTGACTTGATGGCACATCTTCCCGTGAGTGATAAACAGTTCCATATTTCCGAGTGCATTCGAAAGTCTTTCGACATCTCCCAGATGATGGAAAATAAACTCAACCAACGCTTCTTTATTCTTTCCAACAGACAGAAACTTCTTAAATTGTCTTGGTACTTTCTGTTGCGGACCGAGAATCATAATAACTGTCGAACCAACACCAGCACGTTTATTCCTCTCCAGGTTCTTGATGCTTACATCGGGATAAGTGTCACATACAAAATCCACCCTTGTTGACTTTGAACTAGCTGCTGCTGATAAAATCCTGTTAATGAGAACTTCCACCAAAGCCCCAAAGGTTTCAGGAATGTGCTTCATCGTTTGGATTAGTGCCATGCCATCCAGTATTAAAGCATTATTAGATGGCAACTCGTCAATTGCTGGATCCACTACACGACCTTCTAGGAGATGCAATAACTTTGCTTTGGGAGTCTTCACTAGCTGTCCATCAACAGTTGAGATTGGCGAAGGGAATTTTCTAAGACTGTAGGTGAGAACGTCTTTCATGTCCACGTCTCTAGCCTTGCCTACTGCTAGTAATCTGGAGATAAATTTCAAGTCATTTTTCAGCTCGACAATTTGTCCTTTACTGGTCTTAACGTTTGCCTTCTTATCCATGGTTGAAAACGTGCTCAGTTTGGTGGCTTTAATGGTTGTAAATAGGTCTGGTTCTTCACTCAGTAATTGATCTGAAATAAAACTTTTACATTTCTGTTCTCCTATTGCCTTGGCAGAGGTCATGTCTTTCAAGACAGCAGGACTGGCGACCATTCCACTGGCGATATTGACCATGCTGTCTTCTACTTCGAAAGGATTACTCATATTGGTGATAGTTTCCACAACACTGGCTACCTCCCGCTCATGGTATTTCGTTTGCGTAGCATCTGTGTCTTTGCGTGATCTACAGGAAAAAGGATATAATTTTAAATTGCAAGATGTTTTTACTAAATCGTACTCGCACTTTACTTAATTTTTATCCATCAACTTTTTGGTATTATATACAAGCATGACAAAATTACTAGATGCTGACTAGTTGAGAGGAGTACAATTACTTCGTTAGTTGTACTGCAGCAACTATCATTTTTCAATACCGAGAATTTAAGTAATAAAAAAACTCGAATGTAAAATTAGTAAATTGTTTGATAAAAAAAACATCATATTTGAAAATCTTCAAAACTTGTTCATAACTTTTTTTTATAAAAACTGCAGCTTATAATACAACTTTAACTCAGGAAAGTTTTGCTAAATTGTTTACTTATTTACTTGTACAACAATACATTAGGGATAAACCGATTATTCGGTAAATAATCGGCAAAGCCGATTAATCGGCCGTTTTTTAAATAATCGGTAACAAGACTTTCTCTGCAGCTGCCAATCACATGCTAAAATACTGAATAGAAGCGAATAGATTTTCACATTTTGTTGCAAAACCTGTGCCTTCCTTCGTCTCAAGTGAAGTGAAGCTGGGAACATTTCCACTAAAAAAGCACAGCAGACTAGCTCCGCATGTTGTCTTGTTTTTACACCATAATCTGCCAAAACTAAACTTTGACTATTGACATGCGAGACTGAAGCTGTTTTTAATTGTACAAAGTGTGTATTGTAAACAATAAAACCGCGTTTATAACTTCATTGTTGGTCATCCTGTGATTTTTCGCTTGCTTTTTAAAATAATCGGTGGGTACCGATTAATCGGCCGTTAGTTACAATAATCGGCTTATAAATAATCGGCCTCAGTAATCGGCAATTTTCCTTATCGGCTCATCCCTACAATACATTTGGAGTACAAGAGCATAAACGTTTTGATTGGATTATGTCAGATTTTGTACAGCAGTCAGACATATGAAGTACTGTACATGTATTTCTGCAATTAATAACACATATTTACCTGGTCTCTGAAGAATTTTCTGTCATGGTGAGACATTGTCTGGTTATAGCGCCACGATCTGCCTGTGCCATGATCCATCTGTGCACTGCATTCCTGTTTAGAGTGAATCCAACTAAACCTCCTCTCACTTTTGAATCCCGATTGTATGTTTGCTTCATGACCTGGTCACATGCAGTGGATGAAAACCCATACTTTTTCTGTCGTTGACAAGTCCAATTTTGTAATATATCATTGGTTGCCCCTGCAAGATATTGCCAAATTTGATTAATAAAAAAGGAAGAACTGTTTTAATTTCCAATTTGAGTTGGATAAACAACCCGAAGAGCACTTTTATCACATAAATGTAACAAGATAATATCAATTATAGTGTATGTCTAACCTGGATGTGATGTTTCAAGACAAAACATCTCCAGCCAATATACTGTGCCATATCTAGAATAATGAACTCTGTCAGTTGCAAAAAACCATGGAAGCATTGATCGAACTGCTGAAAGATGTTGATCCCAGTTGTTTTCACGGGTTGCACGCAAGAACGTCAAAAGCACTTGTACCATTTCAATATAACTTAGCCACAGAGCAAATGTTGGTTTCTCTGCAGCCTCTGACTGGGAAAAGGAAGTAACAGCCAAATACAACTGTTCAAACTCATATGACATCACCTCTGTTTGGTACTCTTTGGAAGGGAACTTTGTAGCTAGGTTTTCTGAAAAAATAGTATAGTTGATCTTTAAGTTCCAAAAAGCAATACATATTGTGGAAATTGCAGCAGTGTTCGAATTGACAAATGTTGAAAATTGAACAATTTTTCAAGCAATGTCCAAAATATCATTCTTGCAACAGCAAGTAATTAGTGAACACAACTAATGCAATACCAATCAACTGACATACCATAGAATCTTGAAAGTAACGCCGCTCGAAAGTAACCACACCCTCAAAAGTTAACACTTACTCAGAAAACTTAAAAGTAACCGCCCCCCAAAAAGTAGCCATCCCCTCGAATAAATTCTAACATTTCAACAAGTTTTTCACTTCAACTACTGTAGTGTAGATTCACTAAGTTTAAAATCTGCCAATTGTGAAAAATAATGCATATTGTGAGTCACTTACCAATCATAGTAATAGTTTCATCCTTCTTGGCTGCTGAAAGTGAGTCGATGTATCGCTGAAACAACAATCTTACTAGGGCTTCGTAGACAACCTTGTGAGACCTAACGCTTCTGTTGTAGTGCTTGCCCGACATTACTCCATTTATCGACCCAACTGCCACAATTTCTGATTCAATGAGGATGTCCTATATAAAAACAACAGTAACATCAGTTATACAATTAAATCTTAACATTAGCAACTTGTCAAATATAAAAACACCATGCCAGGGGTGGATTTTCAGATTTTTCTCTGGCGGGGGTGTGGAGAAAATTCAGGGGAGGTGCAAGCCAAGTATATAACTTTATTTCAATCATACTACATAACTACTGTTATTTAATCCAATTAGCATTTATTTTCTGGAGGGTGCAGATTTTCTCTGGGCCTGGCGGGTGTAGATTTTCTCAGGGTGGGTGGGTGCACCCCAGGTAAATCCGCCTCTGCACCATGCTCAATTTAAAGGTTTTATCATATGCAACAAAAAAATAAATATTTTTTTAATTACTTACTGTCGATGCAATGGAATTTCACAACCAATTAACCAATAGGGGAAAAGGAAGTAAACAGAAATTTGAAATTGTAATGAATTGATCAATTAAATAAAATTACTTGATGCAATATTTTATGAACACTTCCATTGCATCGACAGAAAAGGTGATAAATTATTATATATCCCTTTTAAAAAAATATTTAAAAAAGAGACTGTGTCATATACCACTCTATATTAAAGTTCATGATGATTTGTTTCTCACTACATCTCACAATTTACAAACATTTTAGAAGTCATGCCTGTGATTGTTGACAACATCAATTGTTGCTTTGTTTAACAAAATGCAATGTCATACAATAAAAGAACATACCTTTAGTCCAGCATCTTTGAATAACTTGGAAATTGCACCACAATAGGACATTGCCATATGAAAATCACCAAGCCGGACTATAAATCGGCTGAGATATCTGTCTTCCTTCCATCTAATTTGCTGAACTTTCGCATAGATTGCCTCATCAAACACTAAGCAAATGTACCGTAAGTCTAATTTGTTGCCAATCTTTTCACTTTGACTTAGTATCTCATTAACTGTTGAGAATTCTGTTGGGCTTGCATCAATGATGGGTAGGTATCCAATTTTAGATTGGGTTGGAATGTCTATAACATCAATCAGTTTGGTGTTGAATCCTGTCCAATTGGGAAGAGTAGTTCCAGTGGTAAGATATCTGCATAGGGAGAATGCAAGGTCTTTCTTCTTAGCATCAACTTGGGGTTCAATATGATGCTCCTCTCCAATTTCCTCATCAAGTATAGCATCAGCCAAGTTGACAGTTTTTCTTTTTCCGAGAAAATAGGGTTGAATATCCTTTGATGGTGCTAGGACTGATCTCTTACGGGAAATACTCTCTCTTCTCACCGAAACACTTGGTATAGCTGTTTCCCTTTGAATAATAATCCCTCCAGTTATATGAGTGGTCCCCTTACCGGATCTGGTTTCTTCCGAAAAGTCATCATTGTCCCATGCAAGAGTAGTCGGAACATTAGCTTTAAAACCTGGAGGAACAGTAGAGTCTTTCGATATGTTCAACTGAGCTAGGGCTGTTTCGTGTGACAATACAAAGGAGTGAGACATACAATGTCCCAAGCCACTCAATAAAGAAATCACTGAGGCTGAGCCTGTCAGTTGCCTCAGTGCCATTGCAAGTGCTATACTCTTCGGAGTAGGATTTCTTTGTTTAGATGCTAAGTTCACCAGGTCTTGGGTGATTGACATCAGTTTGGCACTGTCTGTTCTATTCATCTCCACATAGTTATCCAAAGTGGGCTCCGACGATAATCCACATACCCAGGCTAGTGCGTTAAAAAGTTCACATGGAACCACTTTCTTCACATTATCCATTGTCAAGTCTGATGCTAATGGTGGCCAAGGTATATCTAGTTTTGGGATTTTGTTAACCTTCTGATTCAAAATTAATGCTGCATTATACAACACTTGCAACTCATTAATTTGGGAACTTGCAGCTGCTTCTGTATGTGATTCTTCACTTGGCACCTCACTTTCACTCATGCAATCTGCTTCATCAACGTCTTCATCATCATGTATAGATTTATTTAACATATGTTCCCCAACAAAATCAGATGGACGCAAGTTCTCAGCATAAACAATCTCGCCAACAGTTCTATACTTTTGCATGAAGAAAACAAGTTGAGGGTAACTATTGATTAGTCGTTGCTTGAGGCTGAAAGCCCTGTATTTAGATGCATCAACATTTTCAGTTTCCTTCACAATGACAATAAATTTACTCAGTAACTCCTTCATATACTTTATTGCTTTTCCTTTGATGACTTCCAACTCAATGACATCTTTGCAGAATACTTTGTATGACTTTTCATAGATTGGTGCACATGTGTTTGTCTCTTTTACTGGTTTTGTTATGAATTTGGTGTAGTTATTATAGCAAATTCCATGATAGCGGACCTCCAATGCAACACAGTCTTTGTCTCTAATATGCATTAGTATCTCCTCATCATTTTTCTTCTCAGCAGCAGTACGCAAGAGTCCAGCATCGATTGTTGCTGCCAATACAAGTGGTGTTCTTGTTCTCTTTTTTGTTTTCTACAACAAAGTGCAAATATTTTGAATGCCTGTTTGTCATTTTATACTTATATTAGTGATATACTAGCAAGAAATAAACAAACCAATCACCAATGTTCTCATGTTCCCCATAGCGATAGGTTCTTGATATAATAGCTTAAACATGTATACTTTGTATTAGACAAACTAGCTGCAATAGCTTAATTTCCATACTTTAAAAATAGTCAAATACCGATCTCAGTTTAATACATCATGTGCACAGCATTTTATAGTATGATTTTTTTTTATCAATTGAAAACATGAAGAAGTGGTCATACCTTGTCTGTTCTAAACCAAGAAGCATCTCTTCCACAAATAATGCAACACTCTGGCAGTACATACTGATTTCTTCGAGGCAAGGTCTTACTTTGGGCAGCAACTGAACTACATATTTGAGAACTACGCGTAACCTTTCTACTTGGCTCTTCGATTGGTTCCATGGATGAGTCTTCAGTAATAGGAACAGTTTCTGTAATTTGTTTTGCTCACTTTTCCTCACTTCTCTCTTGTCTTCGGATCTTCTCTTCGTCGCAAAATTTCTTGTAACATCTCATATGGTGGTACCATTTGAGAGCAAAGCTGCTTTCGGTGTTCTCGGCCAAATACGTATTCACGAAGTCGTCATCGAACTTATTATACGAACTCTTCGCTATATCAGCTTGTACACAATCAAGTTTAGCCCATTTATGTCTACATTTAATAAATTTCTTTAGCCTTTGACGAGAGACTAGGCAAAGTTGCTCGGTCACCCCTTCAAAATGCATAAAACATGAACTAATTCGAGCATGAGAGATCTCATTTGAATCAGCCATGTTGAATTTCTGTCTTAGCTTATCTGCGCATGCGCTTTTAGTGTTGTTTCGTCACACGCATGCGTACTGGCAACGAAAACAATGGCCGCTCGTGAATTTGAAAGCACGAGGGAGCGTGAACTTTGAAGGCGATTTATTCTCATTTGTGCAACTATTTCGCTTGGGGGGAAGTGGATTCTTATTAAGTAAGGCATCCTCTTTCTATCTATGTAAAAATTATTATCTCCCTCGAAGCTTGTAATGACATTGGTTTTCTAAGCTCAATTTAGGCCTTCATCCTACGGCCTACAGGCGCTATTTCTTTCTCGCCCCTTCCATTTTTCGCCCTCCCCCCTAAATAGCGCCTGCTACGCAGGCTAGTGTTGGTGTAATGTACTCAGGTGAATATGATGCTTGTGATGTCACTCTGAGTGTATATCCACACCGGCCAAGCTTAAAAAATATGCCTGTCCACGGTGGGAATCGAACATACGACCTTTGAAATACTAGTCCAATGCTCTGCCAACTGAGCTACGCGGTCTGGTTGGTTCGAGTACGTGATATTTCGGAACAGAATCTAGTTCCTTCGATATCAATGTTATCTAATAATAATCATGATTTTTTTGGGTGTAGATAAAAGGCGGACGGATAAAAAGCGGACGGCGGACGACGGACGGCGGACGACGGACGGCGGACTGCGGACGACGGACGGCGGACTACGGAGCATTTTAGATACACATGATTACTACGGCAACTAATTATAATACCCTAAATTAAAGTATACCAGCCTTAGATCTGTGAAATGGATATGTTTTCACCCGTTCGAATTTTTAGCAATGGAATTTTTTAATCAGCATTCAATACGTATGTATGATAGGAGGCTGTTCGCCGTCTTTCGCGTGAAACTTTTGGAAATTTTGGTGCTTCTGTATATAACTGCCCTAACACTGCCATTGAATTAAAATATTATTAGGCGGGGCTATTACATGACATTCACTTGCCGTCATTTTTATACTTTAAATTGTGTTGATTTATAATCCCCGTTTTATTTACTAAAAGGCTAACACGTAGCCAAGGTCCATTCATGTGTGTGCTTACACATTACTATTTCACTGTATATAAATGTAGAACGAAATTATAACCTTCCCCAAGCCCTTCAAATATACATATAATAGAATATACAATATTTACGCTGCTCAACTTACGTTGCCCAAGTTGACATTACACATATATACATTTTTCAAACAGCTTGTTACACTGATTACTGTGTGACATTGACATATATATATATATATATATATATATATATATATATATATATATATATATATATATATATATATATATATATATATATATATATATATATATATATAATATATATATATATATATATTATAACATATCATATTTACATAAACTATAAAACATATTTACAATAACTCAATATAGTTAAAGAAATGACAAAAATATACAATTGTAAATATATACAATTGTGAATGTTTGCATGTCCAAACTTTATAAAAAATTCTCTTAAATTACGACCCATAGCCTATAGTCAATACCTACTACCTATATGTGCCCACGAAATAAAAAAATGTTCAAAAGCCTTGAACGGCAGAAAAATATCGAGCAGCATTGGGAGGTTTAAAAAGTTATTGGGCTCATTGAAAATCCACCTCATCAAATTGTCCGCCCCTAATCAGTGGCGTGCTGGCAGGGGGGGCCGGGGGGCCACGGCCCCCCAGCTGGCAATTCTTGCAGGGCGCAAAAATGAAAAGGGGGCGCCGATCCCGCGCCGAGTTTTGAAAGTGGGTGGGAAAGACGTATTCGAAAAAATATATTTACGTCCGCCGAGAAAAGATGTGTTTATAGGCTTATAAAACAGACTAAACGCATAGGCGACAAAGTGATATATTAAATTATACAGACTATTTTGTCTAACCGTATTTGCTAATTTGCTACCTCACGACTCACACGAAATCGTTCATATAGGAACATGAACTGTGATCACACGCAATGTCGCATCACCGGAATATTGGTCAGGTTTCGAAGCGATCACGGGAATTATGCCCTTTTTTGCTGGTATTATGCCCTTTATTATGCTTCACGAATCACAAGAGCGGCGCAAATTAGATAGTTTAAGTTATGATAATGTTAAGTTGTGTACGCAATTTAGTTGTTTGCGCTAGAAACATCATGAGTAATGTGAGTAATGAAATAATGCTGAAACGCGCCCTTTTGGCAGCCAGGCAGGGAAACCTTAAAATGCATATGCGTGGGGTCCGTGTGTTATTGTATAAAAGAGCTGTATGTTGTAATTGTATTCAGATCACTAGATCAGTAGAGAATAGAATTGGGATTAGATTAATCGCTGGAAGTTGTTAGCATTGCATAATATAACTACTACTACTACTAAATTCAAACCAAATTGCAAATTTCGACACGTTATAATGCCGTTTCCTGACCATCAGATTTCTGTCAAATCTTCCCCCAAAGTGCAGGAAATGGCATTTCAGAGACTCTAAATTCAATTTTTTTCCTGGGGGGGCATGCCCCCGGACCCCCGTAGACAAACCTCGCACCTGCGGCGCTCGGCTCGTGCCTTCGGCCCTCGTTTATCAAGCGAAACATTATAGGGGCGCATACTTGTTGACAGCCCACTGGCCCCCCCAGAAAAATAGTACCCAGCACGCCACTGCCCCTAATGCATATTATTATATGGCTTTTCAAAATTCTCTATTCTGATTGGTTGACAAGCGCTCGTAAAAACCCATATCCGGACCGTGGTCCGTATTTTCCGTTTATCTGGCGGGAAATTTTTGCTTTGCAAACAGAAAAAAATTTTACTTTTTAAATTTCCAATTGTGCTTTACAGATAAAAATTTCAAATAACCAAATTGTTTTTGATTGAGCATGCATGCCTACGGTATATTGTTACCCAGTGAAACTGACGATAGCCGATTGAATTCGCGCGAAAAGCATATGCTTACAGACTCAGTTCAGCCATATAATAAACCGATTATTGACCTCGCTTGTTCGGTCTGTACTGTGATCCATACCATACCATACCATACCATACCATATCATACCATACCATACCATACCATACTACATATCATACAAAACTGTACTACATACCATAAAAAACCTCGGTTTGATATTTCACACCTCACGCTCGGTCAATAACCTTTAATATTTCTAAAATTCATATATAGTATAGTCGTCGCATGCAAATCGGCCATTTCTTCGTGTGAACCTCTTAGGTTTGTAAATAAAACGGGGATTATTTTCATTATAAAACAACAAGTCAGCACTATTTAAAGTACGAAAATGTCAGCAAGTGAAAATGTCATTTAACTCTGCCTAACAGAAGCTCCAAAACTAAGGCGCTTTTTTACAATATTTCCAAACGTTTCCCGAGAAAGACGCCGTATAGCCATCATACATACTTACTGAATCATTTGAATGCTGATTAAAAAATTCCATTGCTAAAAATTCGAACGGGTGAAAACATATCCATTTCACAGATCTAAGGCTGGTTTACTTTAATTTAGGGTATTATAATTAGTTGCCGTAGTAATTATGTGTATTTAAAATGCTCCGTCGTCCGCCCGTCCGCCGTCCGTTGTCCGCCGTCCGTAGTCCGCCGTCCGTCGTCCGCCGTCCGCTTTTTATCCGTCCGCCTTTATCTACACCCGATTTTTTTCTGTGTTGGTGTAATGTACTCAGGTGAATATGTAGCCTGATAACAGACCTACGTTTCGCCCGCCCTAAAATTCGCGCGCGGGTCGACGAAGGACGAAACGTAAGTCTGATGAAAATGTTGTCAAAACGCCTTACATGCACTTTTGAGTCAAAAGTGCATGTAAGTCGACTGCCTGGCGGTCGACAAAGCCGATTGGCTAATTCACAGAAAAATGGGTTGTGATTGGTTGGTCGCTAACACGAAAAGATTTAAAAAGATCAGAATATTTTCAACGGTAAATCAACGCATATAAATATGTATACAGTGGAATATTCTATATATTTTTGATGCCGAACGACAACTAGTCTATGATCATATTAAAACTAGAGGGGAGTAGAGCAGTACGTGTCGAATTCTTCAGCGTTGTATCTTTCCGTTGTAATAAACAATACAATATATAATTTTTTATACACGATCTAAGTTTTGTGACTAATCATAATACTTACTCGGATACAAATATGTGCGCATTCACGATTTACATTTTGATAACATAGCACGTACAAAATATTTTATTTAGATTTTACCATTGTATGGTGATTTCAAAATGTATAAATTGTAAGAGTTGGGATGCAATTCAACAACGGCACATTGGCCATTGCCAAATTTGTGTAAGCAGATTTTATCGCATTTATAATAGAATGTGTTCAAAATGTTGTATAATTACTAGCTGCATGTAACTGTTTGTTTACAAAGGTTTAAGTATATAAAAGCAACGGGTTCCATGGGGTTACCCATATTTTAAATATTTATTCGAATATCTGTACTTATCGTCTCTTTTAGTTTACAAACTTGCAATAAAGTGAAATCGGTAACTTTCATTGTATTTTTAGGTGTTACATGTAAATGTGTCAATCATCATCGTTAATTATTGTAAAATGCAAAGTGGGCGGAAGGCGTTTTTGACAACATTTTCATCAGACCTACGTTTCGCTCTTTCCGTCGACGTATTTTAGGGCGGATGGTTTCGTAGGTCTGTTATCAGGCTAGTGAATATGGTGCTTGTGATGTTACTCTGAGTGTATGTCCACACCGGGCAAGCTTGAAAAATATGCCTGACCACAGTGGGAATCGAACCTACGACCTTTGGAATACTAGCCCAATGCTCTGCCAGCTGAGCTACGCGGTCTGGTCCGTTCGAGTATGTGATATTTCGGAACAGAATCTAGTTCCTTAGTGTGGAACACTCAGAGTAACATCACAAACATCATATTCACCTGAGTACATTACACCAACACAGAAAAAAATCGTGATTATTATTGGATAACATTGATATCGAAGGAACTAGATTCTGTTCCGAAATATCACATACTCGAACCGACCAGACCGCGTAGCTCAGTTGGCAAAGCATTGGGCTAGTATTCCAAAGGTCGTAGGTTCGATTCCCACCGTGGACAGGCATATTTTTCAAGCTTGCCCGGTGTGGATTTACACTCAGAGTAACATCACAAGCATCATATTCACCTGAGTACATTGCACCAACACAGAAAAAAATCATGATTATTATTAAATAACATTGATATCGAAGGAACTAGATTCTGTTTCGAAATATCACATACTCGAACCGACCAGACCGCGTAGCTCAGTTGGCAGAGCATTGGGCTAGTATTCCAAAGGTCGTAGGTCCGATTCCCACCGTGGTTAGGCATATTTTTCAAGCTTGCCCGGTGTTGATATACACTCATAGCTAATATTTTACCATTTTGGTTATATTTTGTAAAGAGAAAACAAAACATTTTGGATGTGATATTTTTTGGGTCTTTTACACTCAAAAGACATACTTTTATGTCATAGCATATCTCAGATGTCCATATGAAAAGACATACAACTGAAACTTACCTGTCTCTCATATAAACAATCCAAATCATTTTCAAGTTTCAACATCACTGATTTTACCTTCATATCACTGCGAGAGTGTCATTGTTGTAATAATGTTCCATAAATCGCCTATTATTCGCAATTGTGCATTCTGTTGAAACTCTAGCACTTTTTGTTGGCATAACTTCCTTAGTATAGACATAAAACATTACACTGAAGTCGCCCAACAAAAGTTTGTAGAAAAAATACGAAATGGCAACAACGTTTTATACCAATATACTATGTGTTACATGAAGTTGTAAGGCAGGTGTGCTACGAGCCTGCAGTATAGTTTTGAAAACACAATATTTACTTTGAAAATCATGGCAATCAAGTCTGGATTTTATTCAAAAGATTTTACTCTAAACTGGCAAATTTCTTGTACGAAAGTGTCCAATATATAATGCGTCCTACACGTTTGGTGCTTGCTGAAAGACAGCGAGATGTTCTGCCTTGAAGGTACAAAGAAATATGTGTATTTTAACATATAAAAATATTATAAATAAGTATTTTATATTATATTAGTATTGCATAGTATGCTATATTATATGTTATACTATATTTTACTATTTTATATAATATATTATGGATATTTTACTTTGCAAATCATGTGTACTAATCCATTTTTGTATGTGTTCTCTAATTATATTATGTTATTTCTGTCCTGGGAAGTGATTCATCCAAAAATTACCACATTTTCCTATTTTTGAACCCGACACCTTGCTTTACAAATGTCGGCAAACGTCAGAATAACTTTGAATTTTCAGAAAATTGTTTTTCGCTCTCATGACGGCAGAGAAAAAACATTAAAAGTCATGAAAGCATAGGCAAATGGGACCATTATATTTGTTCAGGAATGACGGATAAATATTAATAAGGTTGCGCTCATTGTGCGCACCCCCGCTACAAATAGGGTTAAGGCAAACACGTCAGCCATAATATGTCACGTGGAGTGACTTTATATCTGATAAAACTCATCTTCATTAATATTCTTTATATAAGTGTTCATCATAATTAGTATGATTATATAATTGTTCATCCTAATTAAATATTCTTTTAGTAGTCGTATTTTAAGCTGTTCAAAACACTGGTAA